CCCCCCACCCCCGCGCTGGCCACCCCGCCTCCTCTGCAGCCGCCGGCAGCGCGCTCCACTCGCCATCGCGCGCCTCTTGCCCATGGAATTAATTCTGGCTCCACTTGTTGCTCGGCCCAGGTCGGGGAGAGGACGAGGGTGGCTGCGGGTTCCCGAGTGACTTTCCGAGGAGGGACCAAGTGCAGCTCGAACTAGAGGGGAACGTGGGGGTCGGGACTCAGCCAGCAGAAAGGAGGCAGCGCCTGGCACCAGGGCTTTGACTCAACAGCATTGAGACATGTTTGTAATCGCTGGCGTGCCCCGCGCACAGGATCCCAGCGAAATCAGATTTCCTGGTGAGGTTGCGTGGGTGGATTAATTTGGAAAAAGATACTGCCTATATTTTGCCATCAAAAAAACTCACGGAGGAGAAGAGCAGTCAATCAACAGTAAACTTAAGAGACCCCGATGCTTCCGTTGTTTAAACTTGTATGCTTGAAAATTATCTGAGAGGCCATAAACATCTGCTCATTTCTTCCCTCTCCAGAAGTCGATTGGAATATTAAGCCCAGGAGTTGCTTTGGGGACGGCTCGACGTGCAATGTCTTCCAAGTTCTTTCTAATGGCTTTGGCCATATTTTTCTCCTTCGCCCAGGTTGTAATAGAAGCCAATTCTTGGTGGTAAGTTCATTCTTGCGCATTTTATTTTTTTTTTATTTTTTTAAAGATTTGTTTAAATGATGCAGGAATATTTAAAGCTGAATAGGAAATGTAAGTGTATTTAATACCAAAAGGAAAAAGGTTATAATATATCCATGTGATATATGAATATACATTTAAATTAGACTTTTTTTTAACTTGCTAATGTAAAGCGTATATCTTCAGCTCCATAGGGAATCGGAACCTCTAAACCTGGGCCTTTTCTCTAAGGGCCCTTGTTCAGATGCATGCTTGTTGCACAGCAGGTATTAAAGGGGAGCAGAAATGCACTTTTCTAATCATTGTAAGCCTATCTATAAAATTTACTTTTTGCCACTTCTTGGTAGGTAAAGATGAGTTTCAACTTTGAGTTTCTGTCACTTGCGGTTATTAACCTACAGAGACTGAAGTAGGTAGAGCTCAAGGAAGACAGCAAAACTGCCAGTGGAGAACTATTTGGGCTTGAAATGTGACCAAAAGGAGGTTAACCAGAAGTTGTCCAATGCCCCTGGCCTGAGGTTTCTTTCTGGTTGGGGCCTCGTAGATAGACTGCGATATATCCAGCCGATGATTTCCGACGGCATTCTGGATATATTTTTTTCCCCTTGTAAAAGCACAACGCTTTTTCTGACTGTCAAACATGACTTGTGTTCCCCGCCTAGCCTGCCCTAGGTCCTTCCCAATACATAAGGAGCCCTTTTCAAATGTCCAGTAACACGGGGGATTTGCTTCAGTCTGGAGACTTGTCCCTCTGTTCTGCCATCAGTCAAAAGGCACTGCTATCTCCTCCCCGTGTCTAATTGTGCCTACTTTGGGCATTCATGTGTTTCCAAGGCAGATCGGCCCGATTGGCGGGGTGAAGTGAGTCACTCTCTCATGTCAGAGGCCAGTCCTCAAAACCGCAGTTTCTCCCTTTTCCGAGTGGGTTTTCGGAACTATCGGTTCAGGGACATACATGGCAACAGAGGCAAGAAAGGGAATGAACACGCTCACCAGGGAGCCAGATGGTAGGACGACGGGGACTACACAATACCCCCGTTTTCTGAGCGCAGTTTACACAGAGGAGTTTTATGAAGCCCTTCTCGTACTTTGTCATGAGGACAGGCAGGAGAGAAAAAGCATCTGTGTGCTTAAAACCATGTATTTCAGGGGGCCCACCTCGAGAGTTCACGTAAATCTTGAATGCACTTCTGCCCCCCTGTGCAGGTCGTTAGGTATGAATAACCCTGTTCAGATGTCAGAAGTGTATATTATCGGAGCGCAGCCCCTCTGCAGCCAACTCGCAGGACTTTCTCAAGGACAGAAGAAACTGTGCCACTTATATCAGGACCACATGCAGTACATCGGAGAAGGGGCGAAGACGGGCATCAAAGAGTGCCAGTATCAATTCCGACACCGACGGTGGAACTGCAGCACCGTGGATAACACCTCCGTTTTCGGCAGGGTTATGCAGATAGGTAGGAAAGCATTTCATATTTTTTAAGTCTATAGACAGTGTTTTTCTAGGAAAAGTCTTAAGGGTCAGGCTGGCCCCCGTGGCCTAGTGGTTATGGGAGCTGGAGCCCACATGGCCGACCGACCATGGTTTGAGTCCTGGTCCCAGCAGCTTGAAAAGTACCTAAGGCACATGTGTGTGAGCCCTAAATCCAGACAGGATGGAGAAATGGAGGAGAAGGGATTGTGGCATGACCACGCCCCATTGTGGAGGTGCTTTCTCTCTGTGTGTGTCTCTGGCTAGCGAACATGCCTCCTGGCAAGTTAGGGGGGGGAAAAAGAAAAAGTCTTTAGTGTTTCCTCATATTCTTACTGAGGAGGGCATCTCCCAGGGCAAGTGATCGCTTGGGGATGTTTGCCTCTCTACTGAATGATGTTAACTCTGCTCCCATATCAGATTATAACTTTTGAACTTTCCCTAACCAAATCAAGAGCCGATTCTCACAGACAGTTTTCATTTTTCTGAACACTTAGTTTTTCTACCAAACCTTTTGTTTAAAATAGAAGCAGACACTTATTTTTGTTTTTCAGAAACAGAGGAAAGTCCAGTCATATACATCCTTTTAAACTTGCAAACTGTCTCAACTCTTGGAAGAGTTTTTTAAGTCACAATTCACATGGTCCAAGCAGCAAACTAAAAACTGTCATCTTTGAGAAAGCTGGTTATATGGATAGTGAACAGCGTTTTAATTTTTTAAATATAGAGGTTTCCCGAGGCTATAGGTAATGCATATGTTAAAAGCCTTATTTTTAGTCCTAGAAAGAATTTGAATTAGAAGGGATCAAATTTATGTTTGTGATTTTGGCAACTGGTACAAACGCACATGCTTGAGATCTCAACCCAGAAGGTTACATTTTTTAAAAAATGTATTGCCTCAAGTATGATGCTTAATTTTATATATGTCGTCCAGCTCGTTACGCCATTCAGGGAGGAGATGGCATTGAATCTGGGCAAAAGGCAAACATTTTGAAAAATCGGTTTGCCTCCAGTTTGGCTTCGTATTATTTAACAGATGCGTTCCTGTGTGTGTATTTAGTGTGAATGTTTGCAGTCTCTTTACGTTTATGCAAACAAGCCCTTATAATTAATATGACTTCAGTGACTCCTAAAATAAGAAGCAATTTATCAAAGCAATTAACTGTTTATACTGACCAAAAATAAAAAGTTGGCTTAATATCCATCACAGATGGATAAAATGCCTTTTAAAAAAAAAAAAAAAGAAAGAAAGAAAGAAAGCCTGAAAAGCACATTCATTGAGAACAAAAAAGAGTTGTCAGCGGATGTTTCAGCCAGGCAGCTTCATAAACTAAAATAATACAGGACTGGAAACTGGTCCTCTAATTGAATGGCTGGTCCCAGCAGCTTGAAAAGTACCTAAGGCACATGTGTGTGAGCCCTAAATCCAGACAGGATGGAGAAATGGAGGAGAAGGGATTGTGGCATGACCACGCCCCATTGTGGAGGTGCTTTCTCTCTGTGTGTGTCTCTGGCTAGCGAACATGCCTCCTGGCAAGTTAGGGGGGGGAAAAAGAAAAAGTCTTTAGTGTTTCCTCATATTCTTACTGAGGAGGGCATCTCCCAGGGCAAGTGATCGCTTGGGGATGTTTGCCTCTCTACTGAATGATGTTAACTCTGCTCCCATATCAGATTATAACTTTTGAACTTTCCCTAACCAAATCAAGAGCCGATTCTCACAGACAGTTTTCATTTTTCTGAACACTTAGTTTTTCTACCAAACCTTTTGTTTAAAATAGAAGCAGACACTTATTTTTGTTTTTCAGAAACAGAGGAAAGTCCAGTCATATACATCCTTTTAAACTTGCAAACTGTCTCAACTCTTGGAAGAGTTTTTTAAGTCACAATTCACATGGTCCAAGCAGCAAACTAAAAACTGTCATCTTTGAGAAAGCTGGTTATATGGATAGTGAACAGCGTTTTAATTTTTTAAATATAGAGGTTTCCCGAGGCTATAGGTAATGCATATGTTAAAAGCCTTATTTTTAGTCCTAGAAAGAATTTGAATTAGAAGGGATCAAATTTATGTTTGTGATTTTGGCAACTGGTACAAACGCACATGCTTGAGATCTCAACCCAGAAGGTTACATTTTTTAAAAAATGTATTGCCTCAAGTATGATGCTTAATTTTATATATGTCGTCCAGCTCGTTACGCCATTCAGGGAGGAGATGGCATTGAATCTGGGCAAAAGGCAAACATTTTGAAAAATCGGTTTGCCTCCAGTTTGGCTTCGTATTATTTAACAGATGCGTTCCTGTGTGTGTATTTAGTGTGAATGTTTGCAGTCTCTTTACGTTTATGCAAACAAGCCCTTATAATTAATATGACTTCAGTGACTCCTAAAATAAGAAGCAATTTATCAAAGCAATTAACTGTTTATACTGACCAAAAATAAAAAGTTGGCTTAATATCCATCACAGATGGATAAAATGCCTTTTAAAAAAAAAAAAAAAGAAAGAAAGAAAGAAAGCCTGAAAAGCACATTCATTGAGAACAAAAAAGAGTTGTCAGCGGATGTTTCAGCCAGGCAGCTTCATAAACTAAAATAATACAGGACTGGAAACTGGTCCTCTAATTGAATGGGAAAATGGCCTGTAGCCCCAGCCTGCTAAGTTTCATAGAGCTTTGTCCTTTCTGTTAATGATTAAAATGTGCTAATGTATATACTGAGATCTGGACCTCCAAGCTCAGCTTTAGAAACACAATTTTCTCTGAATCTGGGCTGCCCTGTGAAGTTAAGTGGGAGAGTGGCAGAAATTGAATTCTCCTGCCTTTTGATAGTGCGAGCAAGCTGAAAACCTTTTGAGGTTATATCAGAATGGCAAATGTCAGCCTCCCCCCCACCCCCGCCTTTATATCTTCCTTCTCAGTTGCCTTCCTCTCAAACCATGGGACCACCTTTTCACGTGTGTATGACTTAGCAAAAAGCATGCACCTCTGATGGTAACCAAGAAGAAAAACAGTAGTTGAAACTGTTTTCCTGTGTAGTCACTCGAAGACAGCTTTGATTTAAGAGCTTCTAGCCTGTCTTGGGTCAAAATGTTCAGGATAAGCTATCATTTGCTAAGTGAATTTGAGTTCTGTTGGAGATTTATTTGAAATTCAGTCCAAGATTCAAAGAGCCTGCTTCCCCAGGGAGCAAGCAAAGCTCCTGGTACAAAGGCCTATATTTAATTGTCCCTTGCAAGTCCTCTCTCTGGTCCTCAGCTGGGTGCTACTCGCAGTGGGGTGGATGGGAAATAGATGGAGAGCTTACTTCCTGACAGCCACGGAGGAGGCCCTCCTAGACCACCCCTCAGGTCGTCTAATGTCCAGGAATATGGGTGCACCGGCCTCATTCCTGCCTGCCCCAAGTCCTCCATGTGTCTCAGAGCAGAAAGCTGCTGCCGAATGGCTTGTGGGGGAACACTGATGGGACCTTCTTTTTTTTCTTTATTTAAAAAAGTGATGGAGAGGAAAAGAAAATAGTTTTGTTGTTGTTGTTGTTGTTGTTTAAATGGAAGAACATGGACCCAACTCTGAGAGTGGGATTACTCTCCTTTCACTTTTCCACTTAATGGATGTTTGGAGAGAACACACTCAAGGACGATTGGAAACACCTTTGATGCTGCAAGGTGTGGGTGCCCACCCCAACACACTGAGCACAGCAGGGTGTAGAAAGCAGTTCCTGTCTGTGAGAACCTGACCCCGTGGTGGGGCCATCCTCTGAGAAACTCAGGCCACAGCCTCCCACCCCCTCCCCGGCTCATTTGTCTAAGGTGCCAGTTGCCTCGGCAGCCCCCTGCACAATCACCTCGTGAAGGGCCTACTCTTGGTTTTGGAAACTTTCTCATTTTTCATCAAGCGCCCCTTTCCTTCCAGCTTTTGTCCTTGTTGCTTCTTTGTTTCCACCCTGGGAAAAGATATGTGAGGAAGGAACCATTTTTAAGGGGTGTGAGGATCCCACAGAGGGAAACCAAACACAATCAGCAATGTTCCAGCCAGGACGACTGTACCCCCAGACGGTTAGCCGAAGGGTGCTTTTTACACTGATGTTCTCCACGCACTGACCTGTTAGCGTTAGAGAGTTCTTACCAGGTTTGTATTATAGGGCAAAAAATTAAAATAAAATAGTAAAACAGAAACAAATTCAGGATAGGCCTATGAAAAATTGCAGCATTATTTGCGTTTTGTATAAAAGCCCTTTCATGCTCTGTCGACTCAGAGGGCAGGGTTTTATTTTCCTCTTTCCTGAGGATCATTTTATCTCCTCTGTCTCTAGCTACAACCTCTTTAATCTGTAAGTCTCCAAGGCCACACCATTTTCTGTACTATCAGTGTTAATCCTCAAATAACTCCCTAGAATCTGTCCATTCTCATTCCTTTCCACTCCCCCAAAGCTCTCTGCTCCTCTCACTTGAGCTAGGTGCAAACAAAGGATCTCAACAAATCGTCCTCAGCCCCTCAGGCCTACCATCTTTCTGCCCCACAGGAACTTTCTGGAACCTCCTGCCTGCTCCTCTACAGGAGTGGAAACCATTGCTATTCCTGCAGGGGACAGCCCAGGTGGCTGCAGGATTGAGGTGTGGAGCCGAAGTCCACGAGCTGGGTGGGCTGCTGGCCACTTGCACTGGCATTGCTGCCCCGTCCTCCTGCAGAGCAGCCCCTTCTGCCTGGGACCTAGCCCTGTTGTCAGTTGTTCTATGCTTCTGCTCTTCCCCTCCAAAAAAAAAAAAAAAAAA